TTTTTGATATCTGCAACCATAGTAAAACAAAGACTTATATTTTTGATATTTTATATATTTAAATGCCATTTAACAAAGAAAAATCGACCAAAAAAATGAGTTTGCGTGTCATCTCTGACATGCGTGTCATAGGTTCGCCATCACTATACTAGAATATTATGAAACACTGTATGCCTCCAAATTCAATAATCTAGAAGAAATGTATAAGTTTCTAGAAATATATAACCATTCTGGACTAAATCATGAAGAGCTGAAAAATCTAAATGGACCAATCAGTATTGAGGAAATTGAAATAACCATCAAAAATCTCCCCAAAAATAAAAGTCAAGGACCAGATGGCTTTACCAGTAAATTCTACCAAATGTTCAAAGAACACTTAAAACCTCTCCTTCTTGAACTCTTCCAAAAATTGATCAAGAGGCAATACTTCCTAACATATTCTATGAGAGCAATATAATCCTGATATCAAAACCTAGCAAAGTTAATGTAAATAAAGAAAACTATAGTCCAATATCTCTGATAAATACAGATGCAGATGCAAAACTTCTAAACAAAATACTAGCAAATCAAATATAATACTATCTAAGAAAGAGGGGATATGCTAATTGACTCTCACACCATCACAAAGATTGTGGTGCCCACCACCAATAAGGAGGGAATATGCTAATTGACAGTCCTGTCCTCAAAGATGGCGGTGCTCAGTCCTCTCAGCTCTGCCAGGGTGGCAGGTGCATGGCAAGGCCTGCCCTCATGTGCCTGCCTCTGGAGACCCCTCAGCCCCCCAGCACCGGCCTGAGGCACAGGCAAGCCTCGGATGGTGGCTTCCCAATTTCCCAGGGCCACCCGAGGCTCAGGTAACCAGGGCCAGCCAAGGCTTGCACTGCCAGCAGTGGCAGCAGCAGAGGTGTGATGGGGCATCGCCTTCCCCTGATCACCGGGTCACCTCCTGCCCCTGAGGGCTTCTGGACTGTGAGAGGGGGCAGGCTGGGCTGAGGGACTCCCCCTCCAGTGCATGAATTTTCATGCACCAAGCCTCTAGTAGTACATAAAAAATAATACATCATGACCAAGTGGGGCTCATTCCAAGGGCACAGGATGGTTCAACATACGCAGATCAATCAATGTAATACACCACATCAACAAAAGAAAGGATAAAAATCATATGACCTTATCAACTGATGCAGGAAAAGCATTTGATAAAATATAACACCATTTATGATTAAAACACTCAATAAAAAAGGAATAGAAAGAATGTACCTCAACAGAATAAAGGTCATATATGATAAACCCTCAGCTAATATCATAGTTACTGGTGAAAAACTGAAAGCTTTGCTTCTTAAGATCAGGAACAAGACAAGGATATTCACTCTCACCACTCTTATTCAACACAGTGCTGGCAGTCCTAGCCAGAGCAACAAGGCAAGAGAAAGAAAAACATGGCATCCAAACAGGGAAGAAAGATGTAAAACTATCACTTTTTATGGATGACATGATTAAGTATATAGAAAACTCTAAAGATCCCACCAAAAAACTATTAGGAACAATAAGCAAATACAGTCACATTGCAGGATACAAATTCAATGTGCAAAAATCCATTGTCTTCCTGTATACTAAACATAAAACTTCAGAAAAAGTGAAGAAAAAAAACAAAAAAAATTAATTACTTTTGCAATTGCGACCAAAAGAATAAAATACCAGCAATAAACTTAACAAAGAATGTGAAAGACCTATATACTAAAAATTACAAAGCATTATTAAAAGAGATTGAAAAAGACACAATAAAATGAAAAAATATCCCGTGTTCATGGATTGGAAGAATCAACATAGTTAAAATGGCCATATTACCCAAAGCAACATACAGATTTAATGCAATCCCCATCAAGATCCCCAATATAATTTTTCAAAGAAACAGAACAAGAAGTCAGATTGTATGGAACCACAAAAGACCCTGAATAGCCAAAGCAATCCTGAGAAAAAAGAATGAAGCTGGAGGTATCATGCTACCTGACTTCAAATTATACTACAGAGCTACGATAATCAAAACAGCATGGTATTGGCAGAGAAAGAGACACACAGATCAATGGAACGGAGTAGAGAGCCCAGCTATTTTGACAAAAGAACCAGAAACACACAATGGAGTAAAGACAGTCTCTTCAATAAATGGTTCCAGAAAAACTGAAAAGCCACATGCAAATGAATGAAGCTGGATTACAGTTTGTCCCTTGTACAAACATTAATTCAAAATGGATTAAAGACTTAAATATAAGACCCAAAACAATAAGTTATATAAAAGAAAATATAGGTAACAAACTTATGGACCTTGTTCATAGAGAATATTTTATGAACCTGACCCCAAAGGAAAGGGAGTAAAGGCAAAAATAAATGAATGGGACTATATCAAACTAAAAAGCTCTACACAGCAAAACAAAGAGGCAGCCAACCAGATGGGAGATAATATTTGCAAACAGTAGCCCCAAGAAAGGTTTAATTCCCAAAATATATAAAGAACTCACAAAACTCAACATCAAACAAACAACCCAATCAAAGAGTGGGCAGAGGACCTGAAAATACACCTTTCCCAAGAAGACACAGGAACAGCCAATAGATAAATGAAAAGATGTTCAATCTCACTGGCAATTAGGGAAATGCAAATCAAAACTATGAGACAGACACCACCTCACACCTGTTAGAGTGGCCATTATCAACAATACAAGCAATAACAAGTGTTTGAGAGGTTGTGGAAAAAAGGGAACCCTCATCCACTGCTGGTGGGAATGTAGACTGGTACAACTACTATGGGAAACAGTCTGGCGATTCCTCAAAGAATTAAGAGTAGAGCCTGGCCGGTTTGGCTCAGTGGATAGTCGGCCTATGGACTGAAGGGTCTCAGGTTTGATTACGGTCGGAGGCACATGCCCGAGTTGTGGGCTCAGTCCCCAGTAGGGGGCGTGCAGGAGGCAGCCAATCGGTGATTCTCTCTCATCATTGATGTTTCTCTCTCTCTCTCCCTCTCCATTCCTCTCTGAAATAAATAAAAATATATATTAAAAAAAATTAAGAGTAGAGCTACCATATGACCCAGCAATCCTTCTCCTGAGTATATACTTGAAAACCTCAAAATCATGTGTTCGCAAAGATATATGAACCCCTATGCTCATTGCAGCATTATTCACGGTGGCCAAGACATGGAAACAACCATATTGTCCTGCGACAGAGGACTGGATAAAGAAGATGTAGTACAAATATACAATGGAATTCTATTAAGCCATAAGAAAAGATGAAATAGTGTAAT